GGAAATGTATTTAGCACGCGCTTGTTTTTCTGCAATTCTGTTGTTTCCTCTGAGGAAGGACACTCTGGGAATGCAAAGTGATCATGTGTCAGGAGTAATTTCCCCCTATGAGGAAAGGATAGATTACAACACTTAGGGCTGTTTTGTTTCAGATAAAAAAGTTTGGGGGAATATGACGGTGTGCTATAAATCTGTGGTAGATTTCAGTAGGAAAACTTTTTTTAGTGTAGTAGGCCAGTCCTAAGATTCAATTTATATGAGGTATAAGCAGACAAGCTGGCTGGATATGTATCTGGCTGCAGAGCCAAAGATTGGTAGTTTGATTCTCTGCTGTGCCTCCTGTAAGTAAAGCCAGCTTCTGTGGCCTTGGGCAAGCTGCCCAGTCCAAGGGTGTCCCCAGAAGAAGGGAAAGGTAAACTACCCATGAGTAATGTATTCTCTACCTTGAAAACCCTGGAAAGGGTCACCATAAATCAGAATTGACTTGATGGCACATAATAATAATTATTATTTTTTTTAAAGCGGAGCACCAGCAAAACCTTTACATATGTCATAAATTCCATTCAACTCTTGTCTTGTTTAAAAAGTATACATTTCCAAATGTAAGATCTACATAAGACTGCCTTTGTTGGTATGGAAATACTGCACAGATGCAGTCCAGTGCTCTGAAACCTTAGGTTGGTCACATGACATATTTACACAGGTGTAGCCACATCTCACTGAAAGCAGGCTTCAGGCCTCAGATGTAGGAATCATTAGATGTTTATCATTTTTGCCGTAGAGCAGCATGTTTGTTTAGTGATAGGAAACAAAAACCAAGAAGCCAGTAGAGGGAGCATTGGAATTGTTCTTTTGTAGCCCTTTTTACATAAACACAAGCTAGTGTGGTGTGTGTGCGCACGTGTATATGTGTGCATATGTGCACACGCATGCGTGCACATGCACACGCCTCACTCCAAAAGCTTTTAGGCTTTGAAGGAAATATTTTCCCAGGTAATAAATTATTCCTTACATAGTTGGTAAAGAAATCAAGCAGTTGCCTCAGGCCAGTGTCCTTATATGCCCATCACTTCCAATACAGCCTTGTACTAAGCAATATCTGCGTATGCAAGCCTACCTGACATTTTGGGCATACCTAATGATTTTCCCCAAACAGGTCTTACAGGCTACGGGCTACAGACAAAATGCCGCTGCCAAGCAAGTTCCATTGACATCAACAGGGTCTGTTGTGAAAAGAGCCCACTGACCACAAATACTCTCCTCCAACCAACCTGGTCACACAGTCAGGATGTTTGGTTGTCTGGGTTTATATAACAGTTGTTCCCATGCACGGAAGAGAGGAGTGTCAGCCAATGACAATATTTAGATACACTGTTGAAATTACAAAGAGGTAAAGGGTAAAGGTAAGAGGGTGCTAGAACCCCTTGTCTTGGGTGACAGTCCCTGTTGCTATAATTAGGAAAATAGCGGCTATGTAATTTGATTTATATTGGCAATAGGACTTGTAGATGGTACGCCCCAACTGCCCATTCTCCCCATAATTTGGGAAGTATGCAAGTACTGTGAGCCACCCTGGATCCTATTGAGAAGAAAGGTGGGGCATAAATATTTTACTCAATTAATTAATTAATTAATTAATTAATTAATTAATTAATATGTATACTAGCTTAACAAGGCAGAAAGCAAGTAAGAATGTGGGATGTGCTTCACAGATTCTATATGGCCACAGCTATAATCAGCTCACTTGGAGGTGAATGAGGCAGTGGTTGAGAATCTGTGTCAGATCGCCATGAGTATTTGAAGGATGGTCCTTCTGTGGTTTGTAAAGGCTTCAATCATTAGACAACCCATATTGCATATTAAAGGTTTTTTTTATTCTTTAGTAAGGGTTTTTTTGTTTAAATCACAAAATATCGTGGAAATATTTTGGTAACAGAATTCATGGACTGCTGGAAAATACTGAATATAAAGATCAATTCCTAATTTTTCACATATTTAACTGTTCTTAAAACAGTTTGTTTCTTGCAGATAGTATTTATTTTTTTAAAATAATTTAAGACAGCATAAGCTTTTACCAAGCATAAGCATTGTAACAGAAGTGCAACTTTTTTCAGCAATTCCTCCTCAAAAGAGATATTTTAACTCAAAATATCATTAACACATCTTCTTCCTACAAAAATAGCATGTTGGACATCATTAATTGGATATATTAACAACTATTTACACAAGCCGTTCTGTAGGCTAGTAATATTTTAAAAAGAAAAAAAAGAGGGGGGGAGGAAGAGGTGGTGGGAAACCAACATTGTTTAAACACAGCGTTTGAGGCAAACAGTAGCAACAGCAGCAATAGCAGCAAATGCACCCAAAATGACTAACCGAACCAGGCATATTCACTCATAGTCAGACTGTTGTCTCACCTCTTACATAACATTCAAGTGAGATTTCTCACAGTGCTACCTTGGCAACAAACTAAAAATATCTAGGCAAGGTTCTTGGCTTAAGTCTTATTAACAAAGCTTTAGTTGTGTGATTATTTGGTGTCTGGCAGCAGTCCCCAGAAAGGGAAATCAGGATATTGGGAGACAGAAAGGCTTTGCCGTAAAGCCTTATTCCACCTTTCCCCAATTACCAACATACATACTTTATTATTATTGTTAGTTTGGGATGTTCCACATATTTTGTACCTGTGCCTTTAATGAGGATCTTTACCTGTGCCAGGAAAAGCTCCACTTTCTCATATTCCAATCTGCCAAGAGAGAACCACACCCACAGAAACTTCGACAGACATCCACATTCCCTATCCAGAACCTGATGGTCTTCCAACCTCATTGAAGCAGCTGGCTGTCATATGCAGTGAATCATATGCATCTCAGAGGTAAGTTCTATTGCGTTTGGTGGGGCTTACTCCCTTGGCAGTGGTAGGTCACCCCAATTTTTTTTAGGGGCATAGCCCCCACCCCAGTCACAAACTGCACATCTGCTGTAGAATCCTGCTTGTTATTGTTGTTTTAATTATAAATACTGTATGTAGTCATACGGCACACTTGTCATATTTCTATCTGGAACCCTAGTTTGCACAGCAAGAGCAGGAGATCATGAATGTGTGTGGACTACTATTAAAGGCACATGAACAGAACAATAAAAACAGCTGGCAACCCAAATTTGTCCTTTGGGATACAGTGTAAGGTTAGTATAAGTTGCAATGCTATGCATGTGTAGTCATGTACTTGAATGTAATCCTCACCAAATGAGGGGCTTGTTTCTATAGAGTCATGAATAAGAATGTGCTCTTAAAATGGGACATCCAGTTATTTGACTTTAATCTACTCTTGCAGCATTCCTACCTGCACAGCAAGGTAACTGAAATCAAGAAGACAGAAAAACAAAACAAAGAACAACAACAACAACAAGCCACCTGACCATACTGAATAAGAACCAACAAATATACTTGGTTTAGCCCCCCCCCCAAAAAAAACCCAAACAAAACAAAAAAATCACCACCACCACACAAATTACATTGTGGGATAGTTCTTGCATTGTCTGAACTTCTGAGCCAATAACAGGAACAACTCTTAAGGATGCAAGACAACAAATAAAGACTTGAACAAAGTCTATTCATTTATGGCCTATTTCTGAATAAAGTGCTAGTCATATAAAGGCTCGCCACCTCTGCTCTGTGCCCTCCCTCCCATTTTTTCTCCATGAATGGACTAACCCAATCTTCCAGACATTCCAAGTCACAAAAAATAACCTATAGTTCATGGAAATAAACGGTTCCTAGACTCCAAATAAATAATTTGGGTCAAGTGACTGACATCTTGGACAATGAAATGCCAGTGATTTCAGCATTCAGATGTATTTACATTTTATTGGCCTTGTGCCCAGTATTTCCTGTATGTTGCCCATTAAGATTTAAATACAGACAGGATTGCTCAGCTGCCATTTTCAAAACTTATTCTAGAGTAATGAGCAAAGCTTTGGTTGGACTACTTGTAAGCAATTTAAAGGCTGAAATATAATGTATGTTGACCTGGGAGCTAGTCCCTCCCTTTTAAATTGAATGGACTTCTGACAGGATCTGAAAACGGCAACCTTACAGGATGATCTGGTGCATCTAAATCTTGAGTTTTGTGCTTGCATGCATAGGACTGCAACCTGACAGAGCATTCCTGAGCTGGCTTGACCTCACTACGATTTACTCCTAGGTAAGTGAACACAGGAGTGCAACCTTTACAAGCCATTTTATACAGGTTTACTCAGAAGCAGGTTCCGCCACACTCAGTGGAACTTAGTTCCAAAACCTGGATCAGGGATTGCAGTCGTTCTTAACCCAACTGTAGAACATAAAACAATTTATGCTAAAAAAAAATATTGCCCTGTTAAGGGCAAAATTTGCCAGTAAATCTTTTTTCCACAAACCACAATGACCCAACTTCCATTAGCTATAAAGGGACAGATGCAGGAAAGATTTCCAGGCAGTGGAAGTGCTCCGAGGCACTTACTTGCAGATTATATTATACATCAGCTTTCTGAACCTGATGTGCTTCCACAGGTTTGCTGGCTGACAAGCGCCATTCCTCCTGCCAGCATAGCCACCAGCTAGGGATGATGGCACTTGTAGTCCAACATACTGAGAAAGCACCTGTTTAGAAATGGCTGCTCTTGATATTAAACATACCTAAAGTGCCAGTAGTTATGGTAATCTGTATGGCATGTCTCCCAATGCCTCACTTTCCCAATGCTGCACTCCCTTAAAAAAAAAACTTCCTGAAAAGTTTTTGTACTTTCAAATCCTTCTTTTAAAAAAGAAAGTTCAACTCAGAAAAAAAAATCAACCTAAAGGAGAGTTTGCCTTTGTTTTACTCCACATTGTGGTGTGGGTGCAGATACTATAAAACCTTGCAAATACACCTTTTTTATAATTCATAAAAGTGGTGTGGAAAAGGTGAGTATGGATCTCCACAGGAAGGAGGGGGAGGGGTGAGATAAAGAGAAAAAAATTGAGAGCCCAATTTTTTTTAATAAAAGAGTCAATAAATAGTCAGCCTATTAAGGTTTCTGTTAGAAGAGAGAGAGGCTTGCTTATCATTCTTGTCCTGTTAAGCAGGGAGCATAAACCGTGACATTCTTCGCTGAAAACACTGCTGCCCGTGTTATATAGCGTTCTCAGAAGGATTCTCCTCTCTGGACTGCAAGGACTGTTCTTGGGAAGGGAGATCTGTGTCCAGGTTGAGCCCAGCTGGGCTACAGGAAAACGGAGGAGGAAGGTGCTGGGCTGGAGAAGAAGGCGCCACATCGGGAGGGAGGAGGACTGAGGTGGAGGAGGAGGAGGTTGCTGAAGCTGAATTAGCTTTCTCGGCTGGAGCCAACACAGAGGAGAGGCAGGGAAAGGCAGCCGCTGCCGCAGCTGCAGCCGCCGCCGCCGCAGCCTGAGCTGGAATCCCTGGGTAGATTAATGGAATGGGGGCAGCGGCGGCAGCGGCTGGGTAGAGATATTTTTCCATGTTGCTCTTGTCCAGGAAAGGTTGCATGTAGGCAGTGGCAGCAGCAGAGGGGGAGATGAAGTAGAAAGGCAGACAAAAAGGAGCAGCAGGTTGTTGGCCAAAGGGAGATCCCCCTCCTCCACTTCCCCCTGCGCCTAAGCCTCCAAAAGCCATCAGGGAGCTGAGCAAGGACGGGTCTGGTCTGAGGAGGGCTGCTGCGGCCACTGCTTGATCAGGGCTCAGCACCGCAGAAGGGCTGCTGCTGCTGCTGCTGCAATCCAGCTTCAACCTTTTGTTAAGAGGTGGGGCTTCGTCCCCAGAGGGCTCCCGCTTGATCATCATGACATTATTGCTTTGGCTTTTTTCACCTTCTGGTCTCCCCTCACATTCCCCGCCATAGCCACTGTCCGTGTCTGTGTCATTCTCCCCACCAAGTTCCACACTACTGCTGGCATGATGGACATTAAGATTATTATTATTATTACTGCTATTTGTATTCTGAGTCCTCTGGATGACTGGCACACAGTTTGGCTGGCTTTCCAGCTTTGGGACAGAGTGATCTTGCTGCACACAGGAAAAAGAAGTGGAGGGGGACAAGGAGGAGGTGGATGAGGGTCCTTTGCTCCCACAAACCTTTGGAGTCAAGAGTTGGGCGCTGGGGAGGAACCGTGTGCAAACTGAGTGCAGATGGTTAATGAGCTGGGTGCATCGCTGCTCCCTGGGAGTCCAGCTTTCAAATCTGGAGAGGTATTGCAAGACTTCTTTGGTGCATGTTTGGAATCCTGAATGAAAAGCATCCAAGTCAGACTGAAGAGGAGACTTCAAAGATCTTTCTCCTGCAGTGGGGGAGGGGGTTGATGGACAAGAACAGAGAAATGAAAACATATCACTTTTAAAATATCTCAACCAACTTGCATTAAAGCAAATATTACTCAGTATTCATAACATCCCACCACAATGTATTTTCAAATGCTGAAGGCAGAAGCTTCAGGTTTAAAATCATTAATAATTAGTCTAGAACTATGCTATATTAAATAAGCAAAAGAATGGGAATGTCTGCATTTCAACTGCTAATAAGACTCAAGAGTATGCTTCAATAAATACTATAGGACTTACTTCCAAGTAAACACACAGGACTTCAGGCTAGTCTTACATATGCCTGAGAGTAAGTCCATTGAAACGAGAGTAGCTACTTCTCATTAAACATGTATACAGCTAGGTTATATGGCTGCAAAATACATGCCACTTACATTGATGCAGTCTTCAGATTTTACCACAACAACCATGAGAGTATTCCAAAGTTAGTAGTTTGTGAAGTCTCTAGATTACAACTTCCTTACCTTAAATCCAAGGACTTCCCTGTAAACTATCAACTTTTTTTCCTGCTTATTTGCTTTGAAAAACCATGTCTCCTGTGTTGTGCTAGGCATTTACTCACCATTCTGTAAAGCAATTATCTTCTGATGTTGTTGTTCTGTTAAGGCTGTTAAAGCTTTTAAGTGTTTCAAAGTTAATTCCAAAACTACTGCTTTCTCCAAATGCCCTAGTGTCTGCAAAAGGGGAGAAAAGGAGACACTTGATTAGTCACTCTTAAACAGAATTGCACGTTCTATTTTCTAAAACTTTGCTAAATTCGTTTGCAGTAGTGTTTTAATATTGCCCCCACTGTGCTGATAAGATTCCCATGCAGTTTGCAACTTCAAAAAACAAGGGGTACTCCAGTATGGGGTATTTCCTCTGGCTCATCTACAAATATGCCCTAAGATATCTGTTAACATTCTATGGGAGCGCAGTGTTTTGGAAGAATGAATACAAAGATTGAATAGTTAGGAGTCCTTAAACATGAACATGTTATAAAAGCTCAGTTCCCAAAAATCTATTTTGAAAGGCTCCATCCCATGATTTATTTAGGAGTAAGACTCAGTGAACAATAGGATTTACTTCTAAATACAAAGAGACGGGCTTCAGCTTTTGGTCTCCCATTCTTTTCAAATATTTGCAACCATATCCACTGTTGCTAGAAGTAGGTCCCACTTACTTCAGTGGGGTTCTCTGCCAGTTAAATGTACAGTACATAGGATTGCAGTGTCACAGCATGAATCTATGCATGTCTGCTCAGAAGTAAGACATATTAAATTCAGTACATTCGATCCAGCTATGATTAAATTACATTTCATTTAACTCAATGAATCTACTTTAGCTATAACTGTCTCTGGGTCCAACCCAACGGGGCTAACTTCTAGTCAAGTGGGTATAGCCTTTCAGCCTAGGCTGTAAAAGCTTCATTCCGAAACACTATAGTTGCGTGATAATTGCATATAACAAGAAATATCCAGATAGACATACAGTATGGACATATAAATATAAATATATGAATATACATAGACTGAACTTACTGTCAGTTTCAAATGCTCAGGTAACAAGTCTTTCAGCTGAGCAATGCATTCATTAATCCTGTCTCGCCTTTTCTTCTCTATCAACCTATGCGGCAGCTTGTATGTTTCCTAATCAGGGAAACCAAAGAGAAGGACAACCATTAACACTTACTACAGTGTAAGTCAACCAGCACTCCAGCTGCTGTCCTGCCAACAACCTATCCCCCTTATTTTTCATGTCAGGTACAGCACATCCTAGCACAGCCACCCACCAACATTTGTTTATTCATTCCAAAGTAAATAAAACCGAACCATCCACGGTTGAGGAAAGAAAGGAAGTTCAAGAAAAGCTGTACAAAGTTGTGTTCTCAGATTCCTCTGAGCCCTTGTCCCCAGTCCTCATAAAATGCAAATCTTGGAAAGTGCCACAAACTTACTCTTACCTTGCTCTCGTCCCTCTTCATGCCTCTTTTGGGCTTGCACATATATAGGGATGGATAATCCAGTCTGCAAAAAAGAGAAAAGAGACCCATCTGCCGCGAGAGGTACAATCTTACCTATCTACTTCACATGAACACATAAAAACGGTGTAAATTTAAAAAGGGGGCAGAGGGCCACGTGAAGATAAGATTCCCAGTGCGCTCAACAGACGACGCCAAGGTAGACCCAGTACTGGGCCCTGGCAGGTTGGTGGGGAGGGGGGCGGAATCGGATGCCCATTCGAGAACGACTCTTCTTGGCAGTGCTGGGCATCCCTTCACGGAAAACAAGGATGCAATGACACTACCTGGTAAGCACGGCCACCTTACCCTATGAAGTCCCTATGTTCCCGTAACTGTCTTTCTTGCAAGAGAGGGATCCCTTCATCCATGTCTGGCCGCGGCTTTTTTTGTTGTGGTTGCCCTTTTTGACGGACGCGGTGGGATGATGCCGACTTTGAAGAGCTTTGGGCACACCAGTGGCACATACAGCCCGGTCTTTTTCTTGCGTGCAGTTGTAGGAGAGGGTGAGGGGGTGGGTGGGAGAAAGAAAGGAGGGAGCGCGGAAGCACTTTCTGCCTCTGCTCGCTCCCTTTCTGCGTTTGCCTCTCCTCCTCGCTCTCGCTCTCGCTCTCGCCACTCATGCGCGTCACCCCACTCGCGCGCACGCACACACACACACGGGCGCTGCTAGACTGCGCTCCCTGCTCAGTTGTTTGGCCACAAGGCACGCGCGTCGCCAGCCAGACCAGCACCCGGCTCACGTGCGGAACGTACCATGTAAACTCGGGGACTGGGGAGGATGGGAGGGCGCGGAAGGAGGGACGCCGGAAGGCGGGGACAGCTCGGGCAAGGCGACCGGGAAAAAAAAAGTGTGTGTGTGGGGGGGGGAGGTGAGGGATAGAACTTGGTCGGTCTTCCTGGGCCAGAAAATGTCTCGGTTTGGGAGGGCCTCGGGGCTCTAAAAGTGGGCCAGGATGCATTCCCCCCCCCAAAAAACAAAATTTTCCAAAGCACGCCTCCTTGAGAGGCAGCCTCGTGCGAAGGGTTTATGCCATATATTGCCAACCCAGAGGAGAACCGTCACTTCAGTCTTATCAAGTGGCTTGGTTTTCCTGGGATGAAGGGGAGAAACCTTGGGTGGCTCACTTGCAAAGCAAACCAAAGCGGCGAGAGGCGCGCCCTCCCTTGGCTTCTTGAAATCAATGGGCTGGAGCGCCTCCAAACTTCGCACCTCTCCTTGTTGCCCCGCTGAAGGCAACGGGGCAGGGTCTCCTTGGAAAGGGGGGCGATCCAGGGCACCCGTACTGTTTGTTACCTGAACTTTGTACTTCGGAAGTAAATTGCACAGCTGAATAGAGTGGGACTTCCCACCCAGCCAACGTTACGCGTAGCACCCGGATTTTGCAAAGCAGGCTTTAATAACCATTTCTTGTGAAGGGGTCATGATTTTTTTTTCTACTGCCACTGGTTTTAGATCGAATGAGACTGCAGCCCGATATAGTGCCTGTTTTCAGTGTACAGTTCATACGCTAAAGTGGATTGCAGTGTCAGTACCATACACACCTTTACCTGGGAATAATTTGATTGAAAGCAGCGGGGCTTACTTCTGAGTAAACCCGCTCAGGATTGCGCTGCCGAGAGTCACCCACCAGCATCCCACCCTTTGAGTGTACGGCAGGGGAAGCCTGATGAAGGATCACAAGCACACCGAGCCATCTCCTCCCTCCCCTTTCGCAACCATCACTGCAGATAGCCAAACTCTCCCGGCAGGGATCCAATAACGAAATGTTACAACAGGCCGTGTATCGCGTGGAGCGGCTTTCAGAAAAGGGTTTCCTGGAAAAATGCAGAGTCAGAAAGATCCAACAAGTTTCCACCGGAATTTTTGTTTTTAATAAGGATTATGGTGGTGGTTATTATTATTTTGTGCGGGTGCGATTGGCAGGAAGTTTCTCTGTCTCTCTTACGAAAGGGGCGAACCACGCCAAGATAGTGACTAACCGTGCCCTGTGAAAGTAACCCCGCAGCCGTGTTATGTCTGGCAGTGATACGTGGCGGGGCGTCCGATCCATCCCCTCGCCTGCTGCCCTCTCCAAACACACCCATTGGCTTTCTGCTGGTTGAAGGGAGGCTGCTGCGCCTCCAGCCCACGTTTACTATCGCTGGCCCCTTAAAACGGGAGGAGAGCAAGGGCGAGAGAGAGAGAGCCCTCCTCCTTAATCCTGTCTCAAACTGGTACGAGCACAAGGCTAGCAACGTGACGCGACCTCCTGCCGCTGCTGTTGTTGCCGCCGCTACCACCACATCATCACTGCAAAGGGAGGTCCGTCGGTGTGGGCTGGCGAACCGGGCAGCGGCTGGCTGCCTGCCTCTGGAGAAAGGCCCGCCCAGCCCGCATGGGCCGGATGACGAGTTACCTGCGTCTTCTTCCACAGCGCTCAGGCTCGAGAGGGGGAATTTCAACCGAAGATTGGTCGGGGGAGGTGGAGAGGAAATTAGGCTATGGTGCACGGATGCGTTTCGGGAACACGTCTCTGGGAAAAGACAAATATTGTCCCAGGCGGTTCTGGATCCGGCTCCCTCCCCCATTAAGGGCGCGCTACGAACATTTGGGGGGGTAGTAAGGGGAGAGGAAGGAGTGCTGCCATTAGTCCCAAACCGCACTCTTTCGTCTCGTGGTTGCTTAATCCCATGTAAGTGTCACACGGGGGCTGAGTGAATGAGGTTAGTCAGGAGTGAAGGACAAGCACTTTGCACATGCTCGTGGGCACGCCGCGGCGTATACTTCACACGTGCCGGAGCCGAGGCCAGCATTTCCGAGGCCTCAGCGCCTGCCCGCGGTATTTGTGGCCGCACAAGCGAGCCCGGCTTCTTCTGCCGGCGCGGGGAGAGGCTCGGCCGGGGAGCGCCACCATTACGTCACCTCACAGGTGCGTAGGGGCCAGAGCATCTTAATCCGCATTTCCCCGGAACCGAACCTCCTCCCCGCCTTCCCCCTGGGGTTTACTCTCACGGAAGCGGGCACGTGACCGCCGCCTGGGAAGACCAGGCCGTTTCTGACCCCGAAATGCTGCACCGAGTCACGCTGGGCTTGCTCCGAGAGGCCAGCTGGGCTTGGCTTTCCTAGGGAAAGACCCCGGCCGGCCCCTTTCGCACGGCCGCCAGCGCCACCCTTTGTACACCCGGGCTCCTTCTAGCCCGAAGCGAGGTTGCTGCAATGTGGACACGTGTCTTTGGGCAACGCGTGCTCTGGGTGCGTGGAAGACGAGGAGGAGGGGGGGCGAAAACTCTGACTCAGCCCGAGTTGCCCTGAGGGAAAGCGGGCAAAGCCCCGCGGGTCTCCTGGCTCGCTTTCACGCCCTCAAGAGAGAAAGTCCTCGGTTGGAGCCCCGCTCCAGGACGCCGCAGCCCGACGCACGTCCGTCTCCGTCTGCGAGCTCCGCTGAGCTCAGCCGGACGCACATCCGAGCCAACCTGCGTAGGCTCGAGTTACTCATCTCTTCCCATCGTCCGGGAATGCCTCCAGGTAGCGCGCTCAGCGGGCTGAAGTGAAAGTAAAATGAGAGCGCGGCGGTGACGCAAGCGGCCACTCGTCTCCAGGCGCCCAGAGGCCGCGGAGGGAGGGAAGCGGAAGGGCAGCCGGCCAGCTGGCCGAGTGCGGCGGAACGCGGGAAGGCGCCCCTTCAGCGGGGCGATGGGGAAAGAAGGGAGCGCTCAGGCCTTCCACAATTCCCGCCTACCCCCTACGCAAATATTCCAGGGGCAGAATCCCCACCCTCCTCCTGCGCCCGGCCAGCCTACTCTGTGGTTTTTGGGCGTTGTATTTGGGTCCCCACCCCACCCCCAAGAGTACAATACAGCTTTGGCCGCCTTGTTTCGGAAAGGAAAAAATTCCGAATGCTGGAAAAGATTCTCAGGAAGGGGTAACCGAATGCGCGAAACGAAAGCCTTCCGGAGGAAGGAGTAACAGCATTGGGGCAGCTTTTTAAGAGGACGGCAGAGCAGCCGTAGGCATTTCAAGTCAGGATGAAGCCCTGCTGAGTTTAGTAAGGCTCTCTCAAAACTTGGAGGCTATAGGACTGCATTTGAGGTTACCTGTGAGTTGACGGGAACGTGATTGCAGTGGAGGGAAGATGATCGTTTATAATCGGCCTTGAAAAAGTTACCGTTGTGGAATACAGTCTAGTAAAAAAAGAGAAAAATGTGCTGTGTTCAATGTTTGAGTGTAATGCATCAGATGGACAAAATGGGGAAAAAAATCTCTTCCACCATGGTCAGAATTTTCTTTTAGATTTAATCCTTCATAAGGGCAGAATTTGTGGGGGCAATAACAATGCAAGTTGTTTCTTGCACTCCAGTTTTATAAACCATTAATTAGCCATTTCCTGCTGTTATTTACGGCATTATGTTTAAAGTGGTTTAAATTTACATTAGTATTCTGGCAATATTCAAGATTATCTGGTGAAATCAAATTTGTGGCTAGTGCAGGACAATGTGTTTTTACAACCCACAATTGAGGCATGGCATTCATGACTACAAAGGAACTTGGGTTCCCATCAGCCCCAGCCATCATGGCCAGTTGGTGGGAGTGATAGGCATAGTAGTCTCAATCAGGTTGGCCTTAATCAAGGGTTATTAGCTACATAAATTCTTAGAACTTCAAATTTGATTTAGGTAAAGGTAAAGGTTCCCCTTGACAATTTTTGTCCAGTCGTGTTCGACTCTAGGGGGCGGTACTCATCCCCGTTTCCAAGCCATAGAGCCAGCGTTTTGTCCGAAGACAATCTTCCGTGGTCACATGGCCAGTGAGACTTAGACACGGAACGCTGTTACCTTCCCATCAAGGTGGTCCCTATTTATCTACTTGCATTTGCATGCTTTCGAACCGCTAGGTTGGCGGGAGCTGGGACAAGCGACGGGCACTCACTCCGTCACGTGGATTCGATCTTACGACTGCTTGGTCTTCTGACCCTGCAGCACAGGCATCTGCGGTTTAGCTCGCAGCGCCACCACATCCCTTCAAATTTGATTTAGTACATTTCTAAATGGCAGTACAGTATGTGGAAATGGGAAGGAGTATAGCCTTCATTTTCAGTGAATAAACTCCTTGGAAACAATTGGCTGGCCATTCTTTTAAGCCCAGTTGTGACGAATTAGTAGATTCTAGGATGAACTTTCACCCAGAATATGACATCTATATTTTGCCCATTTAACTTAGAAAATTCAGGTCTCCTTTCTCTAAGTACATACCAACATAATACAGTAGCCTTTTCTAAGTTACAAGCTTGTTCAGTAATACAAAAGAACGAGAGATTAGTCTGAGACTATACTTAGCTTCATCTCTTTTTAAAATTCTTTTCCAATATAAAACAATATCTCAGAAGTTTAGAAGCCAGAGGCACAAGTATAGCATAGCATATCAAAAACATAGTTTCATGTAAGTTCAACAGTCCCCATTCAATAGATCTATAACATTAGACTATCGAGACTTCATGTATGGCCTTTGTCTATGATGGCTTATATACCATTTTGGCAGCACAAAAATGTGTTCTATAAGAAGAATCTAAGTCCATAGTACCCCAACTGGATGACAGTCTCCGAGATTTGTCAACTTTTCAACTCGGTTCCAAACTAGAATCAAGTACAGTTGGACCCCAGAATCCATGGGATCAGTATCCATAGTTTCAGTTTTCCATGGTCTAGAAATATTAAAAATATCAAAAGAAAAAAATCTAGAAGAAAAAAAAACACTTTTTACATGTATTACCAGAAACACCCGCTAAAGGGAGCCACAGTGTGCTACGGCAGTGGTCCCCAGCCCTTTCCCAATTGCAGACTGATGGGGGGTGGCATGCTTGGTGTGGTGTGGTGCGCCCACAGGGGGGTGGAGCGTGCTCATGCACATGCATGCGGCAGCGCTCACCGGGCTGCTCATGCACATGTCCTGGGTGCGCTCACAGGGGCAGTGCACGCTTGCAACCATATTATTTCAGTTTTTTAATTTTGCTTCCCTCCATCTAAAAGATTTCAGTTTGCTGTTCAACTGAGTTATACAATTCA